GACCTGTGATACCCAGGCAGACTACAACACCCTCCTGCCGTCCCCTCTCCCACAAGGCTCTGGGAGGTGGGCATGTGGGATGCTCCATGGCACCAGCCCAAGGCCACCCCTGCTCACCTGGCCCACATCCCACTGGAAGCTGCACTCACCAGCAAGACAAAAGCAGGAGCATGTGTGTATTTCAGACGAGAATTCTTCTGTAGATCCTCACTGTGCTTATGTGCTGGCCACAAGATGGTGCCTTTCTACTTCCCATCAGCTGGGGAAGAAGACCAGGTGGAACTCATAATCTGCCTTAGGCTCACAGCATGCTTGTGTCTGTATCTGTTACTCTTAAAAAAGAAAAAAAAAAAACAACAACAAAAAAAACCCCTACAAATTCTGCAAAATAAAACCCCCAAAATCTACAGTGATGGGAAGACAGTTTTCAAGAAATTACCCTCAGGCAGTTCTTTCCCTTAAATTTCTTCCCTCTTCAACTTTTCTTGCAAAGCCCCATCCCAAAGACTTTGCTTGCACACAGAATAAAAAAGAAACAGGTTTGTCAAGAAAAGTGCATACTGACAAATATCTAAGAACATCAGAACCAGTCTATAAGCATGACGATACTGCCCCATAAACAATACAAAGACCTGTGCATGGCTAACTCATATTTGGCTGACTGAATACTGAATAACTTGGGTTTGATATCACTCCCACGTACTTCACCAACATTATATTTGCCACCAGCTTTCAGTAATGCAATTAAAATGGGAAAGTAATTACAATAGAAAACATACTTTCCTTTACTAAACTCTAATTCCAAAATAGTAGACGTGGTCAGAGGCATGGGTTAAATAGCTGCACTGAATGATCTTAATGGTCTTTCCAACCTTAACCGTTGTATGACTCTCTGTTTATTTGTTGAGAGTACTGCACTGATGTGCAGATGGAGAAATTAATGAGACAACTGAAGATACAACAGGCATAGATCTTGAGATGTGAAACTATTTATTCCTGAAGAAAAAGAAAAAGAAGAAAAAAGAAAACACAACAAAAGTTTGATCCATCTTTTCTCCAACCAGAACAACGTAAGAACCAAAATCACTACTAGAATGCCTTGCCTACGTTAAGTTTGTGACTTGATGTAGAACATTAGTCTGAGGAAATGAGGAAATCCCTTTGGCTGACAGGAAAGAAAATAGTGAGTTTGTGAAAAAAGATCTGATTTATTAAAAGGGTTGGAAACTACACATGAAGGAGCCTCAGATGTCTCTCAGCTGTAAACTGAAACAATAAACTGCTTGAGTGTCTGTTTTAAGGCCAGAAGGAGACCATGGACTTTACCTGGCTCCTTACTGAAAATGCATCACTGACTTACATGCACTCATCCCTGTAACTAGGCTTAGGCATTTTATTTTGGAGCAGATTAAGCTGGGTGCTATAATAGGGACCAAAAACCACCTGCCACCTTTGTTCCAAGGCTCTACAGTGACGTGGAAAGGAGTATTGTTGTGATCAGGTGACCTCAGCACATTATCCACGTTTTGTACAAGGAAAAAAAAATGAGAAAAATATCTGAAATCTAGAGAAAAAAATGCTTCCTGACTGCAAAATTGGGTCTTCCACACATGACCCAAGCAGGGTCACACAGGGCAGGGCAGGGCATAGTCATGCAGTTGTAGTAAATACAGATGTAGTAAATCTAAGCTACTTCAGAAGTACACAGGAGAAAAAAAAAAAAGTGCTGAACTGTCTCAGATTAACAGATTTCTCAGCTGACCTAAGAAGAGGTCACTCACTCCGCACCCCTTCCTTACCCACTCAAACAGTAGAACTTTCCCCCCCTAAACTGGCTTATATCTTCCACAAGTTATACCTACAAGGTCTGCTTTGTACGCTGACTTACTATAGCTGAAATGTCCCTCAAGGAGTAAAGCCACGGCCGTGAATGAGCTACAGAAGCAGCATCAACACCGGGCAGCCTTACTGGCTTTATGTACACTGGTTGACCTCGCTCCTCTTTTTTCCTATTACACCTGCAGCAAAGACAGACAGAGATATGATGAGGGGCTTAAATATCTACTTTACACAGTGAGCTTGGAGTCCAACTGTAGAGCACGAAATTTGTGTCTAAACAAACATCTGACTCAGCTACTAAACTGAAAAAGCAGCAGCTTTGTGGAGGGAGCTGGCAGCATCATTTAAAGAGCCATGGATTGCTTCCAGCTACCCTCTTCTCCACTTACTCTAATTATTTGTCCCTGATCCCTAAGTAGACTTAGGCTCAGGCTTGCTTAAAAGAAATGGATATTTCCGGAGCACCTTTTAAAATTCCTTTCTAATTTACCTTTTAAACCTTAAACCCACAAGGCACGTTAGGCTGTTTCAGCCCAACTACAGCCCGTAGGAAAACATTCTGTCTTAACTCACACACGATAAATGTTGCCTCTGGACTTCTTTTTTTAGACAGAAGTGTGACTTCTTGTTTTTAATACAAGTCTCAGTAAGCAGTACCCCACTCACTTACTGGTTTCTGAACGCATACTCTAAGGCTGCTCTTCTCCCAGTTTGGACCACTTGCATCAAAGCCTACATCTACAGCAAATAAGGCTGTAAGAGACGACTGGGCCATCTAATTTGCAGTGATGCTGGGTTACTGCCAAAAGCTTCTGTAAGTGCATCCAAAATGGAATAAATAAATAAATAAATAAATAAATAAATCAGTTTCTCATTCCAAGTGTATCTAAAAATACTTTTTTTTAATTTTGCTTAAATTCACAAATGGTACAATAGTTAAGAGGCTGTTTTCTGTTTTTGGTTTGGTTTTTGTTTTTTTTTAAACATACTGTACAATCAGGTTAGTGAAGTGTTTAACACCAAGGCACAGCACACCATGTTATACACACACGCCTTGCTAGGCAGCAGCTCAGTACAACTCCCCGAGTTTTGGCAGCAGTGCCAGGATAAATAGCATGGATCACATATATGCTAGAAGATAAATAATAGATGCTGTCACATTTTATTTGAAATAGAGTTGCATATAAAAAGAATATACAATAATTTAACTTGAATAACTAGAGTCCCTTGTTCTATACATAACAGAAGTGTTCTCGTTTTTGTCTTAAACAAAACGCTTTCAATATTAGGATGCAAAATTAATCTTTTTTGGCTGTCTTGATTTGTGGAGAAGAGTTCCATTCATTAGAAATTAAAGCTGAGTCTGCAGTTTCACATCAACCTGAAAGAAACAAACAGAGTTACCCATATGTTGATAATTAAACATTGCCAGCAAAATGAGAAAAGTGATTCCAACCATACAGTTGCATTTAGATAATGCACTGTGGAGTTAGTTATCTAAGGGGAACACCTCTGAAAGTTCTTCTCCACAAACTTCATTAACATCTGTAACAGCTTTTTATACCCTCACTTATCCTATTTACCAGGGGTACTTTTACTACAAGCCTGTTACTCATCCAGCAACACTGAAGTTCTGCAAACTCAGGTTACCTAAAGATTGTTTATGCAATATATTTACCATATGCATGTTACCATTCAGCTCTTTATATTTGAACGTTTCTTCTTCGCCTGCCAAAAGCCTTGGAGCCAACGTTGGTTGGGACAAAGTTGTTCTTGCCCACTCCTCCTGACCTGCTCAGGAAGTCTGCCAGACGATGGGTCACGCAGGTAGCTGTGTTGCACGCCCTTTTCTGTGCTGTTACACTGCTTTTTGAAAGGAGAAGGAAGTTAGTTCCCAAGTCAGTTTCCAAGGTCTCTACCCTGCTTGCAACAAGATGGCAGTAAGGGATGTTATACCTTAGAAAGCTTTTTCCACAAAAGCAAGGGCAGGCTTGCTGTATAGCAGGCATTTCATTTGCTCCACCAACAAGCTCTTTCTTCTAAGAATCAGGCTCAGTATGTGAAAGGTAGACAAGCCCTTCTTGGACAACTGAAGACCAATTGGGCCAAACCAGACTTTCGGGACATCTGAGCTGTTTCTTGTCTTCAAGGCACCACGGCAAGCACAGAGATGCTGGTGAGGTGCAGATCTGAGATATTTAACCAATCCCCTTTCCTCACAAAACTGTGAGGGGCCCAGCAGCCACTCATGTGCATTCAGAGCTGAACCACACACAAGCACACTGCTTCTGCCTGTCCAGTGGGAACATGGAAACATCTTTCTTGCCATTAGGCCTCAGTTCAGTAGAGCTCATTGCTATGTAAATACTACACTGACATCAGAATATCTTCAGGTAAGCCCATGGCAATTAATTTTTTTTTGCTAGACAGTATTTCATGGCATACATTTCCACACAGACCTTGCTTGAAAATTTTCTACTAAAGCAAGGACAAGCATCTGAAGGAAGAACAATTTTGCTCAGAAAAGCATTGCAGGACAGTTCATTAATGGTAACAAATAATATGGTTTATAACACTGATGCCATGATTCAGAACAGGCTTCTGCTTACAGGATAAATATGATGTTGCAACAGAAGAACTGGAAATAAAGGTATGGAGCATACTGTGAGAAACAGCTAAAGTAAGCGTTTCTTTGAAAATACAGGCAAAACTATCTAAACATTAAGCAATAAGAACAAAATAATTTAGCTTCTTTACTTAAAACACACTCAGGTTTCAATTGCACTAGTGTGAAGACTTATCAAGTGAGAAGGAAAAAAAAAAAAGGGAGAGAAAATATTAAATTCTTACCTGTAAGTGTTCAGCACACAGTTCTAGACAGGATTACATTTCTAGTTTGTACAGCTCTGCATGAGCCTTTCTTGACTCCTTTGCATCTCAGGCTATTTACTAACAGGTTTGCATGCATGCTTGGTTACATCAGTGCATATATTGTATAATTCCCATGCACATGAATAACTTCTAAGACACCTTTGCATTTTCTTAGCTTATTAAACTTCTCTAGAATTTCTTGCGTTGCCTCTCTTGAACACAACAACGCACAAAACCTCTCTAGCCTTATCTAGAAGTTCTAAAACAAGTAAACCAAACAGATCTAATCCTTATAGAAAAATAGGTTTATTGAACAAGTGCGTGGGCAGGCACAGAAAAAAAGAGTCTACTTGTACATTTAGTAGCCAGAAATGAAGAGCCTTTTCTAGATTTGTTTTTTAAAATCAATACCTAAGAAAATCATTTGAAATTGAGGCAGCGCTGTCTAATTTTATTTATTTTTCCCCTAGCTTGATGTGTGTGTTATGTTCTGTCTTGCTAACATTAGGTCCACCTCAAACATTCTCTGTCAAAAACAGAATCAAAAGAACACAGCAGAGTTAGCAATCAAAGTTAGATCCACATGCATCAGGTTTAAAAAAAAAAAAAGGGGGGGGGGGGGGATGGGGGGGGAACGGAAAAAGGGTAGAAATAAGCACGCCTAGTTGTTTCCTAGGGTTTCCCCATAGTTTGCATAGCGTTCATGTTCCAGGTCATTCAGCACATTTCTTTTCTTGCCAGGAGTTCCAGCCCCGACGTCAGTACGAGGGTAAGTTTGCAATTTGTGCAACTCTTGAGACAGTTTGCCCAGCACACAAGTACTCAGACTGGCACAGCGTTTGGAAATAGGTCTATCCAGGCTGCAGGGGGGGAAAAAAAAACAAAACAAACATGCCCAAAAGAAGAATATTTCAAACATGCACGGTCATGCATTTCTTCCCTAGGCAAATATCTGCTGTTAGGAAAATCAAAATAATACAATAAATAATACAAACGCAATAATATAAAAAGAATCCCTCCACATCACGTTCCATGCAAGCAAGGTTCAGACAAATGCACTTGGAAAGAAAACCACCGTTTTCAATGAATTCATTTTGTTGAAAAAGCAAGCTCATTAGCCTTTAAGATGCTTGCAGTTAGGAGACAGCAAGTTTCACTCTCCATGTATTCAGCATGCTTTTCAGTCTGTCATACATCATCACCATGCTTTGCAATACAAATCCTATTAGGATAATGCAAACGTTCTTGCATGCCTTTGCTCCAGGGGGGAGATGGCGCTGCGTGCACTGGGAGGGCACCTCCCCTCTGCCAGGGGCTTTCCATGCCTTACAACAGCATGCACTTTCACGACAGAGAATCCAAGAGTGACTGAATGATCCCTAAATTCCCACTAAGAAAACATACCTTTTGCTGTATTTTTTTCCCCCCCATAACCCCCTCATTCAAGCTGAAATCGCCCTCCACTTTCGGTTGTAAGAGACAGATAGAAGCAGGTTAACTAAGTGGAAGCCATTCTCCTGACACAAACGTTAGGATGTCTCTACATTATCCTCCTTTATTAATTAGGTGATCAGTTAACCATAACCCCAAGAAAACAAAAACAAAAGAGAGGGTCTGCTCAGGCGGCTCTCTGTGAAATGTCTGACATCCAACTTGCCCTTTTCCAACCCCCACAGTCGTTGTCCTTACCTGTTCCCCTCAGAGGCTTGCTCCAGCTCCTCTGCTGTCATCTGTATGAATTCTTTCACCAGCGCATTTAATAATCTCCGAGCTTCGTAATCACTGAGCGTCACTCGATCTGTTATGGACTCCAAGCCAGGTCTACGCAGAGGCAAGAAAACAGGATGAACACAGAGAGCCACGTAAAGGAGAGAGGAGAGTGCCCTGCACTGCTGTACGTCATCGGCGGTGCCTTTCACGGGTGTGAAAATGTAAGTCACACACATGCACAGCATTAGGTGTTTTATACACGTAGTTAGAAAACCGTATCATAGATAGCCTAGAAGAAGCCAGCTTTCTGTAGTTTTTTTTCTCTCCCAGAGCTCTTAAAAAATAAAAGTTAAGTATCTCCAAACCATTCAGACAAAGCACTCAGCAATACGACCAGCTTCTTACCTGACTGGAGCTGCCTGGAAGCTGTCCATCTGGCACACAACCAAGGCATAAACAGCAAGGAAAGATGAAATCTTCAGCATAACCATGATTTCCTCTCTACAACAAAGAGGCATATCAAGCAATGGCTATTTTCCAATCATCTCAATCCTGTAAGACCTATTGAGGAGGCCATCCTCTGCTAGCCACAAGTTGCACAAGTGCTCACGGTTCTGTTTTACTGTTTTCTTTCCCCTAATATTACCTTTAATCACTCCATTTTGCTTTGGCTTTCTTGGAATTTTAAGATAACTGAATACTGTTACAGGGAACATAAACACAGTCCTCCTGAATTGCAGTTCTGTCCAGCTGCTTTCAGCCTAATGCACCCTTTCCCCCCAGACTGGGTGAAAACACATCCCCCTGTCTGCTACACAATGTCATTCAGGGTGTGCAATGTGAAGAGGCAGCTGTGCAAGAAGAGTCATGAGGGAAAAAAAAATTAATGAGGAAAGAGAAGGAAAAAAATGCTTGCAGTTTAACGCTGCTAAGAATGAAGTGCCACTGCTGGCACTGTACCTGAAGCTGCTTGCTTCTTGGCAGTTAGCACGCTAATGTCCCAGCTTAGATTATGCCTTAAGAACTAAGCAACTTCATTTCTATAAGTATTCCTACTCAGAAACTAGAAGGAGGAGAAGCTAAGCAAAAAACAAAACAAAACAAAAAAAAAAAAAAAAAAAAAAAAAAAACCTGGCACAAAAGCAAACCCTGTAAAAGAAGTCATAATCGAATTGCTTTGAGTTACAGCTCTGCTCCACACAGCATCAGCTCTCCAAGTTAGACAGGCACACGGGTAACTGCCCCACCAGCTCTAGATCTCTCAGCCGCCCGTTCCCGGCCCAGTTCAGCCTTCAGATGCCCCAAGGCCACCGGCAATGCCCTACAAGGAGGCTGCCCCACACCTCTCAGCCTGCAAGCATCACAGGGATGGGGAGAGCGAGGGCCGGCTCCTACCTACCTGCTCCGCTCGCTTTCTTTCTCCACACACCCACCCACAGAACTAACGCGTTACCGCCCCGCACGACAGCGTAATGACACGACAGAGCTGGGAGCGCCGCAGCACGCGGATCTTACCGGCGGTGCGGGTCAGAGCAGCGGTGCCGCGCGGAGCGGAGCCCGTGCTGCTGCTGCCGCCGAGCCGCGGTGCCGCGCGCTGCCCGCCGGCCGCCCTTTATACCTGCCGCCGCGGCGGCCTGCGTGGGCGCCCGCGGGGCCCCGCCAGCCAATCATTTCCCCGGCCGCCCGGCCCGGCGGTGACGTCATGCCCCGCTCGGTCCCACCGTCCCATTCACAAAAAAGCCGGCGGCGGCAGGGCGGGGGGAGGAGGGCGAACTGCCGCCCACGATGCCCGGCCGCACGCTCCCCAACTCCCCCCTCCCCCCCCGCCGGGCTCGCTCCGGGCGGCCTCTGCCGTTCTATCGTTGCCCCGACGGCTGTGTTCGGACGGGAGGGGCTGCGGCCCCGAAGCCGGAGCGTACGCGCAGTGCCGAGCGGAGCCTGACGGGTCCCTGCCGGCCGGAGCGAGGAGCCCCAGGCGGCTGAGAGCGGCAGCCCTCGCCGTCTCCCCTGGGCTCGCACCACGGTGGGATCCCGCAGCCCTCGAGGAAATCATCACCGTCATCTCTGCCGCCGCTATTACCGGCACAGGCAGGTGCGGCGCCTTCCGGCGCTCGGAAGAGGCGGGGGGAGGGAGCTCGGGACCGCCGGGTGGTTGCGGATTACCGGCAGCTGCCGCGGCTCCACGTATCACCGCGGAGGACCCTTTGCACCTGCCGCCAGGATGTTTGCACGGGCGGAGGAGTGTTTGCCGAGGGGTCTCGAGGACCGGAGAGAAGCGGAAAGCCGCCTCCGGCCCGGGCGGGAGCAGGGAGGAGAAGAACCCACACCCCCGACTCCGCAGCCGCCGATGGGGCGGGTGGAAGGAGAGGGGGGAAGCGGCAGCCCCCGGCCCCTCTGGCTCCGGGCCCCCTCCCTGCGGCGCTGCCGAGCCCCGCCCGCGGTACGAGGTCGCGCCCCGCGTTGCGCTGTCGCTATCGGCCCCCAGGCTGCGAGCGGGACTCGGCGGCCTCGCGGAGGTGATCCGCGGGCGGGGTGCGGGACGGCTGGTGCGCTCGTTCCGTGCTCGGTGCGGGCGGGCGACTTGACACGGGCACTGCTGCAGCATCCTCTTGCATTATTTTTTTTTTCTTGTTTGTTTCACAGACGGCTCCTGATGGCAGAAGCAACTCATTTCACCTGCAGACGAACGAAGGTAGGGAGAAACGAGAACAGGTATTTCTTCGCTGTCTTGGAAGTTGGAAGAGGAGCATGGACGCGGCGCGCTGATCAGTCGATGGCGGCTTCTTCATTCTCCTCCCGCCCCGCAGCGGGGCACCGCGATACGGCAGGGCTCTGCTGCCGCTTTTCCGCTCTCGTTCTGCAGAACGATGACCGCAAAACCGTTTTAGACGAACTGAGCCCGGCCCGGGGCTCCCCGTTACTCTGCCCGTTACGGCTCCCTCCCGGCTGGGCTCGTCCCACAGCCCTCCTGCTGCTCCCGCACGTGGAAAGTTAGTTTGTGATGCACGGCTGCGTGCCAAGGGAACCTTCGGTCTCCCGAGAGAAGGAACTGAAGTATTTAATTTTAAATATATTTCCGACACTTCTGTGCTGATTTCTCAGCTAGTCTTTCTGAGGTTTCATTTACAAACGTGAGGTAGCACCCAAAGGAACAGGTCGGCATCGCTTTTGCTGTTTCAGCGTGACTTGTGCAGCTCCATCAACAGATGTATGGTGTGGGAGCTCCACGACTGAACTCACAGCCCCAGCCTTCCACCATTCCTTTCCCTTTCTATGTTAAAAATTAATCACACTCATTTTCTTTGGGGATTTATTTACTCGGCAAGGAATATTTATCTTTTAACCTTTAAAAAAACCCAGACGACCATGTAGGAATAGAGTATCTCAGTTCTTTAGAGGGATAGCAAGCTGTATTCCATCTTACAGCCAACTCCAGTCACTCCAAGTACTTCTCTTGCCAACACAACAGCCCCGGGCTGGAGCCCGCAGGATGTACTGATCAACGGATTTCAGATGCCAGCGTTTCTACTTTAGGCTTTCACAGGAAGAAACATAAATTTAAAGCAACAGGTATTAGTGCTAATAGATAAACTTTTGTGAGCGTAAAGATGAAATAGTATTTGGATGTTGGCAAGCGCTTTGGCTGCTCCTTGCCAGCACTAATGGAGGGACTCCCAGCTCCTTCTGTTTTTTTCCCCACAATTATACATCAGCTGGTCTCATCAGATAGATTTTCTTCCTCTCTTCTCTTATACATAAGATGGAGAAGAAACAGCTATGAAAGAACTCCAAAGATGGGATTGTCTAGTTTTAGAAACTGCCAAAAAGTGGCAGGGTTGTTATGGGATAAAGGTTTCCTGCTGCTGGATAAATCCAAAACCAGAGGTTAAGTATTTGTGGGAAAACTAGTGCAGTGGGTACCTGTGAGCACTGCCCTAAGGAAACATGAGGTTTACAGAAACAAGGATCTGGTTCTGCTTCCTTCAGTGCCTGATGTCAGGTGAAACAATCAGTCTGTACAGGTTCAAAGGAGATGAACTGAAGAGCTACAGAATGACATTTTTTTAAATAAGAAACTAGATTATCCAATACAACCTGCAGCTCCAAATAAAAAAAGAATTTCCTCTTTTAATTAGTTTGTAGGGAATCAGAAAAGGCTGCTCTCTTTTCAATTGACTTTCTTCCTCTACATTTGATTGAACTTCTTCCAATATCCTACTGTGTGTTGTTTAACTATACATCTTGAAGCACAAGCATTTGTTTTTCTGCTATAAATATTGCCATCGTGCCAACAAGCCATAGACATTGCAGTGAGGTTCTTAAATGTCACCTGATTTGCAGAGCAGGATGTTTCTTGTTAAAATGGGTTATAAAAGCTACACAGCCTTTCTGTCTCTGTGTCTCTACCTGTCCATGTTCCAGGTGGATGCCTAATTCAGCTTCATATCTCCACAAATGGCTGGAAAACACTTCCAATGAAGAAGATGACAACTCATACAGGGGACAGTGAACGCTGCTGAATACCCATGAAAACATCTTTCTAATGTGTTATCCCAATCTGCCCCACAGAAAATTAATCAGGACCTGAGTTAGCCACATGGTGCTGTATTAAAATAAAGTTGTTTGTTAACAGGAATGTCGTGTTTAAGGCCCTGGAGCTAATCCTTGCACTCTACTTGCTGCTGATAAGACCTAGACCTCACTGTACTCTGTTCAGGGTAGCATGACATACCTCAGAAAGGGCAACTTGGAGGGAGTCTAGAAAAAATCCAACATTATTATTGGAGCCTGTAAAGTGACTTAGGAGAAAAAAAAAAGGAAAAAAAAAAAAAGACAAAGGAAACATGAAGATTGGAGAAACAGCAGAAGGAAAGATCATGGAGAAAGATCAAAACATAAATACTTGCTACAAAGAAGTAATAATGTGCTCAAAAAAGTAAAAATATATGAACTTAAAAGACAACAGTAGAAATGCTGCACATTAGAAGGAGCTTCCTACAATTGAAACTAATGCCATACAAGAACAATTTCTATTGCACTAGACTAACAGTTTCTATGCCACTGTAAGGCATGGTAGTCTAACATCTGTCAGGAATGACATCATGTAGCTAATATTCATTCTGGGAAGGGAACACGATCAACTAAAGGAGCTTTCTTCATCTCTTTCATCTCCAGTTTCTGAGATTCTGTGATCTTAACAGCTAGAGACTTAAACTCTGAAACATAACACCTTACCTATCATCCAAACTTCTACTAGCATTGGTCTTTAGATCTTACTTCCCTAAATTATCTGATCCTTTCCCAACCACAGCCTTCAGAAGGCAATGTCCATATTTAGACTAAGCTCATGTCAGATTTACCAGCACAAATTATATTTTAGCCATCCATCCTGTAGTTTCATTTAAATTTGGCCAAAAAAAAAATGAGTTCCTCTCTTTAGAAAAATGCAGCATTTCAGTGAGAACCAGAACATGGATACAGATCCCAACACCAGAGGGCTCCCTTTTTAATAGCATCAGCATTCAGGGTGCTTCAGTGACTCGTTTCTCAAGAAAGGAACTGTTATTGAGCTAATTACTGGGAAATCTATGAATCAGTCTGGAAGCAAATTCAGATCTTCCAAAATGCCTTAGAAAAGCTTCCAGACTGAAATATGGAAGACATTTTAAACAGAAGATCGATGCTGGATTGTTTTAATCTCACTGAAACGCTCCTAATGAGCTTTGGCTTTGAAGTACTTTCCCTGTATATACTCAAAAACCTGGTGCAGAATAATCTTTTACAACAAAGTGGGTCACGCTGTGCGGCACTGAGGGTTCCATGGCAGGGGAGAAGGGGCAGACCATAAGGAAGCTGGCTGTGGCTCCATCGTCTTCCATCCTGCAGGCTCGCAGAGGCTGCAGGCCCAGTTCATGCCACCTGGCAACACTTCCACCCTTAAGAACTGGCAAAACTCTGCAGTACTCCAGCCAGACCCAGCTCTGTTCCAAGCTGTACCTCCAGTGCTCTGACAAGGGGAATCCCTGAAGGGGAGATTTCAGCTCACCAAATTCAGCCACGGACAGACTCACAGCATGACCAGGCTAACACAAAGGGGACAAACTGCATAGGAGAATCTCACTCTGAAACACAGCACCTATTTCCACTTCAGTTTTACACGTTCTCCAGCTGAGATAGGAGTTGAACAAACTCCTTATCTGGAAAGCAGCCTCAGAACTGAAAACAGACCTTGTTAGGCAATAGCACAGTTATAAAACCTTGTTTTGATCACTTGCACAAGTGCTACGCTACTATCTTGTATGTCATCAGAGCGTGTCAGCAAAAATCTAGTGAGAAACTGTCTGGTGAATCCTGAAGTTAACCCTGTATTTCTTCTTCACAAGATACTAGGAGCCTGAGGGAGCTCATGTCGGTATTTCATTCTTTGTCCCAATAGTAGAGGGAACCCTAACTGTGATTAAGCCACAGTGTCATTTAACAGTTTGATCAGCCCATTCCAGGACCATTCTGTTGACCCCATGCAGTGGGCTGCTACAGCCATAGGTCCCTGTTGTTGCCAGCAGTGCCACGTGTGTGGGGAGGACCAGGTGTAATAGTTTCTCAGCTGGCTGTTTAACTCTTTGACTCTTCACAAAAGCCACTTGTGCTCGACAAAGAAAGAAGCCTGCTTTGATACAAGTTGGTGAGATACTTGATGGAGCTTGGAAGCAACTTCATCTTCCTCCCAAGAATGTAACAGAGTTGTCATTGGACTTTGAATGTTGTTACTGAAAGAGCAATCCCAGCTACCAGTAGATTTCTTCAAATTCCTTCTGAAGTCAAAACTATGCACGTGCATAGTCACTTCCTTTCAAAGAACTGCCTTCTGCTTTTTTGGAGAAGGCAGGAACATAATCTTTGCTGTTACTTAATCGCGTCCAACTTTTCCTTACAGGATTTATGGTGCAAAGTAATTGTGAATTGTGATGACCAGAATGTTTCAGAATTTAATAAAGATACACACTTTAATGGGTTTCCTTACTCAGCCATCATTTTTTATAATTGAAATCACAAAACCTTTACTCATCCTATGAGTTTGCTCATTTGATCATCTGTGATTAAGATGAGTAAAACCTTCCCAAAGTAGCAATTCAGCACAAGTTACCCCCACACTCTCAAAAGAATGAAAGAAATATAAAAAGATCAGTGAGGAACTGGCAAGGAATCCATCTTGGATAGCCCAATGGGTTCCTGAATCCCTGCATCTCTGTTCTTACGTGATGTCATCTGTCTGCAAAGCTTCATTTATCACTTCTGACTACTTTCAGTCATACTTATCCATGGCTTTCAGTCATACTTTTCCACCATTTAATCATTCTTTAGAGACTGTTGGATTTTTAACCTTGGTAGATTCATCACCTTTTGGCTTGACCAAATCTGATATAACAGCTCTGCAAACATGTGCTCCATTTCTCGTCCTCTGTTACAGCGAATAGCACCATCTTCTTTCCTCCATCACCACAGGGTCTAAATACTATGATAAGATCAGTTTTGATTGTTCTCTCCTCCTCTTGAAAATGACTGTTGGGATTTTCTGTACCTCCTTTTATTTCTTGGATCTTCCTATGCTATGTTTGTTTTCTGTTTCTCCTCCCCAGAATGCTTGCTGCCAAGAAGTCAATCACTTTTTCTCTCTTTTCTTAGACAGATGCTCTGGAAATCATGATCCTCTGGGGGCATGTGATGTATTACACACTTAAAAGTGAAAATCAAAGCAATTGCAGCTAGGCTATGTTTCCTCAGACACTCTGAGAACTATTCAAGTGTCATCTGATCTGGGACAGGTATATTTTGATCAGCTCATCTGTGTACCTCCATTCACCTAAATATGCTGATGGTAAACCCCTTCTTCCTTACTTAAGTAGGTTTGAATCCACCCATTTGAGTTTGTGTGGTTCAGCACAGCTGCTCAAGCAAATTACAGACCTTTTTTTTAATCACTTCCCCTCATTCTGCCTCTGGTTGAAGCCAAACTGGTGTCCTGAATCTGTTGCCCACTGGTGAGAAATCTTAGGGCACTGACACGTTGATGTTTTTGCAGGCATGGCCAAAGTAATTCAGTCAAGATGACAGGAAATTTCATAATGAAACAAAGTGTGAGGGAAGGGATTGCACTGCTTTACACTGTGCTGGTGCAACCTCACCTTGAGTACCACGTGCTGGTTTGGGTGCCACAATACAAAAAGGATATAAAACTACTAGAGAGTGTTGAAAGGTGACAAGAAAGATGGTGAAGGATTTACAGGGGAGGATGTATGAGGAGTTGCTGGGTCCCTCGGTTTGCTCAGCCCAGAGCTGAGGAGCTGAGGGGAGGCCTGATGGTGGCTGCAGCTCCTCACAGGGAGCGGAAGGGCAGCGCTGAGCTCTGCTCTGTGTGACAGCGACAGGGCTGAGGGGAGGCTGTGCCAGGGGAGGGGCAGCTGGAAATGGGGGACAGGTTGTGCACCAGAGGCCAGTGGACATAGCACAGGCTGCCCAGGGCAGCGGTGATCACACCAATCTACTGGAGTTCAAGGAGCGTTAAGGCAGCACTTGCAGACATAGGGTCTGATTTTTGTGTGGTCCTGTGTACAGCCAGGAGCTGGAGTTGATTACTCTAACAGGTCTCTTTCAACTCAAGTTATTCTATGGTTCTGTAAGATGACTTGCACCCAAAATGCCAGGCAAAAGGCCACACCTTATCATTTCCCAGTCCTCTTCCTTCCCCCATCCCAGTCACAGTACCTCCTCTCTGTGCTCTCAAAGTGATGCCTTTGCTGTGCTTGATTTTGTCTTCACCTGCCTTCTGAGCAGCATCAGGGGCCATCCTCAGCCTCTGGGCCATGTGCTCTCAAGTTAATACCTCCACATCAGGAGCAGAACATCCCAACACAGGAACATACTGGGGATTAAGCATTAAATAGTTAGATGACCGAGAATGCGATGCACTTTGATCAGTTAGGTTATTTATGAAGTTCATCAGTACAGACTCTGTATCAGTGCAGATCTTAATCTTCTTACAGAACTACTGGAGGTACTGAGCTAAAATCAGCAGAAAGAAAGACTGATTGGACACAGCACTGTAATTTTAGCAGGGCATCAGTACTTCTGGTATGCTAAGATCTACTTGTACGGTAGCAGTGATAGAAAAGTAAAACAACATGAGCGGAAACAGAGTGAGGTTTTTTAAGAACCGTTTCAACAGGATGTTATTCTTCATTGTGGGATTGCATTCTTAGCTCGGCAGGAAGCAATCTGTGTTTGTCCAGTATCTGCAGCCCTTTGCCGAGGTGCCACCCTGCTCGCTAACAGCGGCAATAACGAGTTACGCAGAGATGTCCTCCAGCAGACATCAGGCTTCTGCCGACGGTGCCCACCTCCCACCAGCGCAGCCCCGTCGGACGGGCACATTCCCTTTATCGTGGCTAGAAGGGAGGGCGAGAAGGGAAGGAAACGCGACGGGGCTGTCCGTCTGCAGTTGTTCCAGACCCGAGGAGGCTCCGGGAAAGACACCCCCAAAGCGCGTATTTCTGCTTTTCCTGTTTTTCCAGGTCTACGTACGAAGCTATTTTTATTCGGGCGCCAAAAGCTTCTCAGCGCTTCACCAGCGCAGCCCCGTTCCGCCCCGCAGCCGGCCCGGCCCGCTGACGCGAGGGGCGGCGCTCCCGGGGGCCGGTCTACGCGGGGCGGCTCTGCCAGCGCCCAACGCGGGGCGGCGAGCCGGGGCCGGGAGGAAGCGGCGCGATGGGGCCGGCGGCGGGGGACACGGAGGCGGCGGCAGCGGCAGCGGCAGCAGGGGGCGGGCTTTGGCTGCTGCTGGCGCTACCGCCGCTGCTGCTGCTGTTCGCGCTGGTGGTTCGGCAGCTGTTGAAGCAGCGGCGGCCGCCCGGCTTCCCTCCCGGCCCCACGGGGCTGCCCCTCATCGGCAACATCCACTCCCTGGGCGCGGAGCAGCCGCACGTCTACATGCGGCGCCAGAGCCAGATCCACGGGCAGGTACCGGGCGAGAGCCGGCACAGACGCCGAGCCGGGGCAGGCGGCGGGCGGAGCGGCGGAACGGCCTGGCCGCTATCGGGCGGGACGGCGCAGGGGGCCCCGCAGCTCTGGCGCTGAGCGTCGGGCGAGACGCGTGCTGCGAGCGGCCCGGCCCCGGGTACAGAGCGGCTCCCGTGCGTGCCGGGGTTCCGCTTCGGGACAGCGGTGTGGCCGAGCATCCGGCTGCCCTGCATTCGCGGGGCTTCGCCAAAAGGAAAGCAAAAGGCAGGCACGGGCATAGTGCGGCATTGTCGCGGGAAGAACTGTGCATTAAAGCGCCTTCAGAGTGATACTGGAGTGTACTTACTGACGGTCCATTTATACATATATAGGAATGTTGAGATGTTTTTTGGTTGTTTTTTTTTTTTTTTCCCTTTTCATGTTTTCTTGTTTCTCAGCTGTTCCTTTTCATTACCCCGTTTCATGGAAGCAGTCTATTCTTAACACGCTTCAAAAAAGCGAAGCCCAAGTTATCGGTGCTGGCTCGGAAAGGCAGGCAGAGCAGACGCAGCACGTGTAGCCGTGCGCCTCTTCCCGTCCCGTCCCGTCCCGACCCCCCCACCCCCCCCCCCCCCCCCCCCCCCCCATCCCGGAACGCCTGCGGGCTTTTCCTTAGAGGGATTCTCAAGCGATGGAAAGAGAGAGCTTTGAGTCTAACAAACACTGGCTTGCCTAGAAAACTAACTTCCTCAAACTGTTAAGAGTGGTTTAAAGGGACAAGGCAGTGAAAGAATACTGGTGATGGCGCCTAAGTCTTTCAAAAGCTTTTGTAAAGCTTTTCATTATGAAAGCTACAGAAGGAACTTAACAGTCATAGTCTTATGAACGAGAAGCAAAGTGTGTGAATGAAAAGCATGCTCAGTGGCAGAAAGGGTAGGGTTATCTGTTCATCTCTTTCCTGTTATTTTGGCAGTAAAGGTGTTTCAAGGAAAATACTGGGATGAACTGAATGGAAATAGGAAGGCAAATGTATAATCCAAAAATTAAGCTTTATACTTGCCTGAATGCTGACTGCAGTTCTCTTCAGCTGCTGTCATCAAAGACTCTGCAGAATTTGGGGTAGATCAGGAGGCAGACCAGGATATTGGGAGCTCTAGAGGAGATCAAGGAAATGGTCTTTTAAAAAGTGTTTCACAACATACAAAGAATGATAAACAGGCTATAATTGAAGTATACAAAAATAAAAGCTTCCAAGAGGTACAGCGGCATTTTCTTCTCATCATGTAAAAAAGAGCAATTGCAACAGTGAAAAATTTACTCTTGCTAAAAGAAAAAAGACTTCATAGAATGAGTAACTAAACTACTGCCCATTACTTCTTCACACAGCGATGGTCAGCAATGCTGCAATGAAGAAAAAATAAAGATTTGTGTAGGTGAAAAATACCAGATTTAATACGCTAACAAAAGTGTGAAAAGGAATATAGAATTTCAGTCTTGAGAATTTAGCCTCATTTTTATTTTATTTTATTAAGCTTAGGAGAAGATTTTCATTGTGTTTATCCTGTATGTGCCTTCTGCAGGGTGTATTGCATCTTTCTCCAAAGATGCACTTCTGGATGCTGAGCACTTCTGGAAACAGGAGATGGGACTAGTTGGGCTATGCTATCATTTTTTGTTGCCCATCATCGTGGCTCTCATATCTGTCATCTGATGGGTCTTTGGGAGTCTGTGCAAAGTAAGCTGGTGCCTGGCTTCAGAGAGAGGAAGGACTAGGTGGAGCTTGGCTGTCTTCCAGCACTGACACCACTTCTATGTCTGCCATCACTAAGTGATGGAAGATTTGGTCAGAAGAACTCGTAGCTTCAATCACAATGCCCTTAACCAGATTCAACTACTGGATTCTTTTATACTACGGAAGAACGGAGCGACAGATAGCAGCAAAACTTCCCCCCTTTCCTTGTTTCAATATGAAAGTATATAATACAAGGACTTTAGTTCTTCTATAAATAATGTACATTTCATCCACTTGCATTTGGAGAAAAAAACTTTTTTTTTTTTACTGAAATATGCACAGGTTCTCTCTTTTTTTTTTTTAATGACTATATGAAAGTGTTCCCAATCCTTACTTCGGTGGTTTGGTCCCACTGGGTGCACTGCAAAGCAGCATGTAGCACAGGCTAACTTACTGTACCATTTGACAGAGATTAATTTAGCTCACAACAAACTCTATGGTGCCACAATTGTGTCAGTACTTGAAAACATTCCTGTTTCTTGTACGCCCATTGAAGTTTATTGCTGTATTTATGAAATCCATACTTTGCATTGAAGTTTAGTGTTGCGTCACTTTTTCATTAGCTATATTTGCTTGTTTTCATTATTTCTTTGTGAGATTTGGTTGTAAACAGCATTTTATAATCTCTTTTTTTTCCCCTCAAGATTTTCAGTCTTGATTTGGGAGGGATATCTGCTATTGTGCTGAATGGCTATGATGCAGTGAAAGAATGCCTTGTCCACCAAAGCGAAATTTTTGCAGACAGGCCATCTCTTCCTTTGTTTAAGAAGCTGACAAACATGGGAGGTAAGTGCTAGTGTCTTCAAACAGAAATGCATTTTTGTCCATGAGATTTTACTAGGCTGTACGATCGCATGCAACATTTGCTCTAGTTGTTTTCTCTACCTTATCTCTTATCATGAAATACTCGATGCTTCTTTAAAGATATCTAGAAAAGACTGTCATTCCTGAGCTAAATTCCACAGCAAGATACATGTAATTTATTTATTTCTTTTTTTATCTCTATGCTCTCCCCTCCTCAGTCAATTAATGTCAGTTGGAAAGCTATTGTCTTTGTTTCTGGGAATCAAATTAGCTTTGAAGCATCTCTTAGCTTTTAGCTATGAGCAGTGCAAGAGTCTTCTGAAATAGCTATACTTATCTATTATTATAACTCTTCCAGTTGTTTAGCATGAACTCTGAGAAACATATTTTTCACTCAGAGGGTGGTGATGCACTGGAACAGGCTGCCCAAGGAGGCTGTGGGTGCCCCATCCCTGCAGGCATTCAAGGCCAGGCTGGATGTGGCTCTGGGCAGCCTGGTCTGCTGGTTGGCAACCCTGCACAAAGCAGGGGGTTGGAACTGGATGGTCATTGTGGTCCTTTTCAACCCAAGCCATTCTGTGATTCTGTGATTCTATTTTCTTGCAACTCATTTTGCCTTCCTTGCAGATTTGGTCTGTTTGAGTTGGCAAATATAATTTCCGTGGCCTTGTTAGTGAGAAGATCTGTATTAAATTGGCCTTGAACATTCAGATACAGGTGTATGAGGAACTTCAGAAATTTTGATGACTTTAAGAGCTGCACCTCAAATTTAATTTCTGAGGTTAAATGTCAGTATTTCTTCTGGTGTTTCCATTCTGTTTCTTTGTTTTCTGCCTTTTATGCCTGGCTTTGTAACGTCTGTTTTGCACCAGCTCTTTTACCTTGTATTATACAGATTTCAGCCACATCATTAAAAATTGCACCTTGTTCTTTCCTATACTCAGGGTTTTCTTTTAGAGTGCTTATTAACATACCTATTTTTAACCTAGACTGGCAGCCCCGGATCCTAATGGCACTTTATCTCCCATAGATGCTGAGAAGTAGTATGACCTTTATAAATCTGATGGAGACAAATACTGAGAGATTGCTTAGTATTTGAATTCTTTGAATCTAATCTTAAAAGATCTTTTTTTAAAATTAGTTATAGACAGACTTCACCTCAACTTTTGTTTATTGGATATATTACTTTTAGTAAAAGCTGTTAAAACTTCAGTGAAAAAGGAAAATGTGGGCATTAATACATGTTAGTATATGTCTTATGACTCAGGAGGCTTGCTTTTTGATAGCGAAATACTCTTGGTGTACCTGCTGACGTTATAGTGGAAATAACTCATAGCAATTGCTCTTAGTCCCAGTTTTCCATAAATGCAAAATGTTTCCAGATAGATCTGACATGCTTTTACGTAAGGGTATGAAGTCTGCTTGCCTGTAGTAGCACAGGTATGTCTAATTCAGCTTCGAGGCAGAGGGGTTGTTTAGGCAATCTTCTAATTGCTTAATCTACTGGCAGTAATATACTTTTAGAGTGGACTGAATGGTTAAATAGTTTTATTGCCTCGTTGAGGAAAAAAAAAAGCATTGCATAAAATGCTGTGTCAAAACATTTTTTTCAGGCTTACTGAACAGCAAATACGGCAGAGGATGGACAGAACATCGCAAACTAGCTGTAAATACCTTTCGAACTTTTGGATACGGTCAAAGGTCCTTTGAACACAAAATTTCAGAAGAGTCTGTGTTTTTCCTTGATGCCATTGATACCTACAAAGGCAGACCGTTTGATCTGAAGCACTTGATAACAAATGCCGTTTCAAACATTACTAATTTGATTATTTTTGGGGAACGTTTTACGTATGAAGATACTGAATTTCAGCACATGATTGAGATTTTCAGTGAAAATGTTGAATTAGCTGCTAGTGCCTCTGTATTTTTGTATAATGCTTTTCCTTGGATCGGTATCTTGCCATTTGGGAAACACCAGCAGCTGTTTAAAAATGCAGCAGAAGTCTATGACTTTCTTCATAAGCTTATAGAACGAGTCTCTGAAAATAGGAAACCTCAGTCACCTCGGCATTTTATAGATGCATATTTAGATGAGATGGATTGCAACAAAAGTGATCCAGAATCTACATATTCAAGAGAAAACTTAATTTTCTCTGTTGGAGAACTCTTCATAGCTGGGACGGAAACCACAACAAATGTTTTGAGATGGGCGGTGTTATTTATGGCTCTTTATCCAAACATTCAAGGTAAGAACTTTGTCATTTTGAGGAACTGATACACCTTCCCATTGCAAATTATAAAATGAGGTATGATAATAACATTCTAGCATGTTATTAAATTGTTTTACAACTTATTATGGAGATTTGGTCTTTTTCATAAAATATTTCTAATATATTTACATTCTGCATTGCATTGCTTAGTATTGGTTGGTAGATGCACTAAATCTATATGTTAAAATAAATACATGCAATTAAGGAAGAAATGATAACAAAATGTAAAAACATCAGCAAAAATATTTTGGGTATCTTACTTGCAATTTCAATTTTCCTTAAGCACCTCAATTCAAAATAGATTATAGTTATTTATATTTCTGGAAGAAAGAAAAAAACATTTAAAAACAAGAAGATAAGGTTACAGCTATCGGGAAGTAAGGCAGCACTAGATGTTTGAATATCAGCCCAGACACTGGGCAGAAATTTGGATTTCAGAGGTAACTAGTCATCTTGTTTCATTGCCTACTGATTTATTTCTCCCATTAAAATGAGCAGCACTTACTTCACATAGAAACTTTCATGGTTTGGAGAAAAAGCAGTGTGGATGACTCAAATTTGTAAAGATACTTTGACCAAATAATACTGCTCTAACATCAATTGGAACATTCTTTTAGATTAGGGATAACAATACTACCCATGTCTGTAAGGCTCTCCAGTTCTATCTAGAAATCAGATATCTTTATATGTGAAAAGTTCTGTTTTATTTTTGTGGTAATGGATGTTTAACTAAGGAGAAATACATACGCTTCACTGAGTACAAAATGAATACTTCTTTTGTGGAAGCATAAAAGGGAGGTTGTTATTTTTAAGCAGTCAGCATATTTCAGATGACTTAAAACAGTTCTAAAATAATTATATACTGCTTTTATGTTTCTGTGTTCTGTTGATTTGTCATCGTGCTTGATAGTGCAATCAGAAAGTCTACAAAAAAAAATTAAAAATGATAGAATACGATTATAGGTACTTAAGTTTTAGGATACGTATTTGTGTTGAAAAGAGGTATTTTAAGTGCCACAAGTAGTCAAAAAGACTAAAACATCCTAACTCCCTGAGCTCTGACCAAGATCTTGTTATTCAATAGAGATCAAGAAAAACATTCTCTCTTCTCCTGTACACTGGCCAGTTTTGTAGAAATCCACTCACCTAAAATAATCTTCTGATCTTAGATACTGTACAGTACAATACATTCCTGAATCAGAATTCAATATCAGTTCATCTAGATAAAAATAAAAATTGATGTTATTTTTTTTTTTGACAATACATGCCAATAAAT